CATTACTGACACCAATAAAACTTTTTTTAAAAAAAATGGAAAACCAGGTCATGCTAGGGTTGCCAGGCTGCAGCTGGCAACCCCCAGGATGAAATGTGGAACAGGGCTTGGCACATTGGCACACTTACATGAATTCTGGTAAAAACTGAAAGTGACATGGCAGACACGCCAGCATTTTGCAAAGATTCTATGGTTTTATTGCACTGTTTATTGTATGTATTAAAAACTACCTAACTTTTCCCCCACAGACGTTAAAGCTAAAACCCTACTCCCTTTATAAAAATGCTCTTGTGAACATACATCCTACAGAACAATAAAAATGCCTTCAGTTTTTGAACTTCTTTGCTGGCACCTGGTATTTTTGGCCACTGTGTGACAGAGTGTTGGACTAGATGGGCCGTTGGCCTGATCCAACATTGGCTTCTCTTATGTTCTTATGTCTTCTTTCTGTTTCAGAAACGTGATAAGTTATGAGTAGCAACTTATGAAGGAGGCAAGGGCTTTGTAGGTTCTTTGCTTATCCTGTCAAATTAGATACTCTGCAAGCATCCATTGGCAACTTTTTGCAAGCAGTTCTGCTGCCACATGAGCAAATCTGAAGTTACGTTTTGTGACTGGGTGGATATGAAAACCCATTGAAGGACAAGGATAATTAAATAGCAGTGGTGTTATTATGAACCACTGGTTTCGGGGCACTAGTAAAGGCAGTTTTGTCTGTGTCATGCACATGACAGTTTGGAGGTACTTGATGGGAAAATGCTCTTTGCACATGCTCAGGGACCATACCATGAATGGCCATAGCTCAATGGCAAAACGCATTGCTTGCAGAAGGTTTCAGTGTCTCCAGTTAAAAGATCAGAAACTAAGTGATCGGAAAGACTTTTCTCTGTCTAAGCTCTTGAAGAATGATTGCCTATGAGAAGAGACAATATTGAACTAGATGGACCTAGACCAATGGAGTCTCAGTATAAGACAGGCTCATACGACCCTTTGCTTTTAGGTTTTTATTTGACACACTTCTTTTCCTTGGATGAAAGAATTTCTGTGTATGCTCAGAACCTAAAGTAAAACCAAAATCAACAATCTTACTCCTCAGGCCACATTATAAACATAGCAAAGCAGTGGCTATCTTCTTTCTGAGGCATAAATTTGTGCAACACTTTTAAAAGGTTGCAGAAGTAATCTGCTGAATTTCTTTTTGTTTTCTTTAACATTTGCCTATGCTTTTAGGTGTAATACCCATGACAGTACATGATAGGAAAATGCCTTCCGCACATGCTCAAGGACTACTGCTGTCAGTTGCCACCCATCTGTTTTGGTACACCTATATTTACATCCAAACACAGTGTTTTTTCTTAAGAATATGTAGCAGAGCCTTTTGAAAATGCTCATTTATCCAGGCTACTGCTTGCCTTCTTAATCTCTGCTGTAAAAAGGGGGACTGTTTGTGATTGAATGTTCCAGTGCTTAAAAGACTGAGTTCATGAAGGACATGTTTTATAATATTTACAGAAATATGAGTACATCTATGTACAAAGTACAGTGGCTGGCTGGCATTCTCTCCTCTTCTAACCTATTCTTTACTTCTCTAATAACACCTGATGTTTTCTCCCCCTCCGCCTTTCTGGTATTACTTTGTATACCATTTCGACCCAGGGAGTGTATCTCATAACTGGACACATCTAAACTCAGCTCTCAACTGAAAATTCCTAGACAACACATAATGACTCCTCTGTGCCATCCACCCAGGAATGAAAACACAATAAAAAACTTCAAGGACACTATGTTCTTCACAAGCTGAGAAACATCAAAAATCACAGTCAAAGCTCTCCAGATTGGCACATATCCACCAGAACAGTGCTAATATGATTTCAGAATATGTATCTGTGGGCTAGACAGAGTTTGTTAACACTGTATGTAAATGGCTGCTTTATTAAGCAAAATTTTCATCCCAACTCTTATGAGGTTGTGGAAACTTCTCCTTTTGAAGGTTTTAATTTTTTTTAAAGCCTGGACCAGCTTCTCTCTGGTGTTCACACAGGATTATCAAGAGTTGGTTGGGGTTGGGATAGAGAACAGAGCTGAATTTAAAATAGCACCTTCCAACTATGAGATGATTCTGAACAACTGAAATCTAAAATTAGGATTGAGGGGAGAGAGAGAAGACTTTGTGAAGAGCCACAATTCTGTGGCAGAGCGGAAGATCACCAGTTTTTCCAGCTAGAAGAATTTTGGGTAGCAGGACTGGGCACCTTAGAGATCCACCACCAGCTGAAGTACACACCACTAGACTAGACAGACCACTGCCTAATGTAAGGCGGCTTGATAGGTCATACTGGACGTTTTAATGTAGGGAGAGTGCCATAGATCTGACCACCATTTGCTTTAGAGAAAACTGGTCCTCCTCAGTCCTCTTGTGCTCACCTGAAAACTTTCAGGGACAAAATCACATCAATACATTTGGGCCTTCTTTTCTCTGAGTTCAGCACATCTGCAGCTTCTCCAGGCAACCAGTGGTCTACATCTTAATTCACTGGAGCTGCACTTGTTGGTTGGCTTGTTTTTTCAAGAGACAGCAGAGCTAATTCATGCTTAGAAACCCTCTGAAATGCCACAGCTGGTGATATTCCCCATTCCAAGCAACACTTAGAAGGAACCGTAAC